TTTTTAAAGTCACTACTGAATCACCACTGTTTATGTTATAAAGAGACATGACTTTTGAATTCAGTTCATATTTGTAGAACCAATGTATAAATACTTAAGCTATTGAGAATTCTTCAGTAGCTTAAGTATTTATACATTCTTATTATGTGAATTGCTGTGTAGAAGCTAAAGGAGAGAGAAAAGGCTAAGAAGTGAAGGAAGGACAAAGAAGGAAGAAGTAACAAAAAGAGGTGAGTGAGACAAAGGAAGGACCATATGTGCTGCCGAAGTGATCAGCCTAGAACAAAACCACAGAGCCCTTCATGCCTCTTGCACTGTGTCCAACACTGCTCCCCATGATCCCTGTGCAACACACAGGTGGGAGATGTCAACATACAAGGGGAAGAAAGCACAGAAATTCAGTAGGACCCCCAAAGGAAAACGTTGTTCTGCTATGAGTTAACATTCTTGGCATCATTCTAGATATCAAGTCCTAGTCCCCACTTTAATCTACACCAAAGCTTTAGCTCCATCTCCATGATGCTTATCTATGGAAATCCCAGGGGCTGCCACCCACAAGGTCCTGTCTGACGTGCTTACCTCTTCTGGGTTCTCAAGTACCTCAGGATCATAAACTGGAGAACACAATTCCAATATACCTGTCTGGCTCAATCTAATCTTACGCTTGGATTCCCAGAGCAACACGTCAGCAATCATGACTGTCCCCAGACCTCTCTGAGGCAGCAGTACCCTCAGTTCAGTGACTCATCACTACTGGCTTAAAGTCTGACCCCAACACAAGCCAGCTCAAGTGCTTCTAGCATCAGGTCAGGATTCTTCGTTTCCAACACTTTGAGAATCAGGAATCAAGAAATGTCTTCTGATCCCATACAGATTAACTGGCCTCACTATGATGGCGACTTTGAGTTTTGACACCAATAGTGTCAGAACATATTTCTTCTTCTTCTCATGTTTATCTTTACTCCCCTACTCTCCTACATTTTAATGCATAAGAACCAGGAAATATCTTGTAAGGTTCCTATGCTTGGCAATTTTTCATGCCCTGGAGGTTTGCACAAAACTAAATTGTGTTCCAAAAAAGTAGTTCCATTTTATGCTTCTCTTAAGTTCCCTTCTTGAGTGTCTGGAGATATAACTCACCAGCTCTTCCTCGGCCTATAGCTGCTCTATGTCCTCTAAGGTTCTGTGTACAGGGATGCAATATTTAAGATTCCACTCTGCCTAACAGAGTAGATGAGAATCAGGTGGTATCTCTCTAACAAGACATAGGGAAGATAGCATGTTTACATTGCCCAAAGAGTCTGCAACAGGCCTGAATTTCTTAGAGCTCTAGAGACTATGCCATTTGCTTTCTGTTAGTTTAAAACCACCGCACTTGGCTCTTACACTAGGCAATGTAAGTCTGTACATGTATCAACAGAAACAACAAAAGAACCAACATGTTAAGTGTGTCTGAAAACTCCTTTTTTTTTTTAATAATCATCTTAAAACTGTAGAGTACTTTGGCAATTTCTTTTAGACTTGGTATCTGTTCCTAATACCAAAAGACAGCAAAGCATTTTATAACAAATGTTATCATAGAAATAGTGATGGCAATCGGAACAGCAAGAAAGTATGTGATCTTTCTGGCTGCCAAACTCTATACTGAGCACTTTGCACCTCTCAGAGCTCTCTGACAGAGGTGGACGCAGCAGGAAACTTCACTAAGGCTGAAGATTGAGCTGAGGACAAGTGAAGACTGATGCCACTAGCAAACAGCAATGCAGGAATTTCATCTTGGAGTGTTTCCCAGATCACAAGGGCAATGGGAAAACATGCACTTTGTGCCTCAATATGTAATTTGTGTCTTTGTCTCTTAAGGGATACAGAAGAGATTTAGAATATCTTTCAAAAATGGGGTTGGAGAGATGGTTCGGGGGTAACATCACTTGCTGTTGCTCTTGGAGAGCCCTGTGGTTCAATAGCTAGTACCCACATGATGGCTCAAAACCATCTCCAGTTCCATGTGGTCCATTGCCCTCTTCTGGCTTCCATGGGCACTGCATGCCCATGGTCCACAGTCAAAATACTCATACACATAATATAAAAATAGATAAATCTTTGAAAAACACCAAATACCAAACACACATTAATGTAAGTATGGTCTTTCAGATCTATGTTGGCTGTGAGCTTTTTTCAGTTGCTCGGGACATTATTTGAGAAATAATAATCTACACAGCTGTCACTTCCAACTGCACTGATCCACTAGACAGGTGTGTTATTGACTTGGCATGCAGAATTTACAACTGACAATCTCATATGAAGATGTTTAACATTTACTCAGAGAGTGGCAAAATATTTCTATTGTTTTCCTTTTTGATTTTTTGCATTTGGGCAGTTATCGGAAATGTGAGATATCTTATATCCTGACTAACAAACCAGTGCATTTAATGTTCTAGTTCTTTGTTTTTGCAGAACCATTGTATCCTCAATTCCTCTTTCCTTCCATATGGGTTTTGCTGTTTCTCTCCCTCTACGGCCCAGCAATGATGCAATGATTCCTTTCCTTCTCATTGTCTTTCATCTTGTGTCGAATGCGCCTTGCCTGCATGTCTCCACAATGAATCAGATTTTTCTTCTGCTCATCTTTGAATGTCTTTCTTTCCCTAATGCTGTGTGTGCCACTTGGAAGCTATTTGAGCTTGGCACTCCTTCATAATTCCTATGTATTGAAACCCTATTTGATACATCCATTGATCTGGATTATTGAGACACTCCTGAGTTCATCTCAGAGCCTTCCATCCCTAGCATCACTTTGTTGATACACATCTGTAAAGAATTGTCACTTTATTTTTAGCACATGGTCCCATCTTCCTGTAATGATGCTAATCGTATGTGCAATGCAGAAAGCATGACTGACTGTTCTTCCAGCACTCTTAGGATATTTTTCTTGCTGGTTGTGACCTCTGCAGTACACTTCAGAGAGTAATAAACTACTCTTGCCCTCGGGTCACTGAAACATTTGTAGATGGAAGACAGTTTTATAGTTATGCAGCCAGTGACCTCAGTTTTGATGTCAAACACTTGCTTGTTCCTCTGTCTTAGCTGGTTCCTCTACTAAGTCCTCAGGCTATACTGGATCCTTAAAATTTATATGTCTTGTCTTGTTACTGTCTATGTCCTATGATGACTATATGGAGAAAAAGTCTAGATATTTTTTTCATCCTACAAGGGATAGAATGTTGAAATAAACTTAAAAATTCATTGATATTATTCTAATGTTCTATTGTAGATTCTAAGTAACTTTCTCTTATGGGCACCATAATTGCAAGTGTATTACAAATGTAGACCTTATGACTCCAATTAGACTAGAGGCCATGATCCATTAAAAACAGATTAAGCACACGAAATCAGTTATATGGAAAAATAAACATGCCACAGGTTTAGAACTTTCAAAATAAATGATTAATAATGTCAAACAATTTATGTTTAGCTAACATTTTTACAAGGACACCTGAAATATTGTATTAAATTTCATCAGAAAAAAACTCATACTACCTAATTTTAAGTATATGTATTCATGTACTCATTTCTCTTCTTTCTTTGCTTCATTCCACTCTGTGAATATCTATAAAATTTTTATCAAGTATGAATGACTTCTATATTTGAGCCTTAAGGATATAGACTAGTTTTAAGAACATTAGGGACACAAACATATTTCACTAGTAAGGATTGTATTTTGTAAGAATCAAACCAAGTTACTAAAATAAACCTGAAACAAACTGAGACATCAGTAGCATGGTAAAAGTGCTCAAACGAGCAAAATTTAGGGAAACATCACACAAGATGGTGAAGCCCGGGTTTTTGCTGCTGGGGGAGTCAGGGCTTGAGTTTCCTGGAAATTTGTGAACACTAAACATTTGCTTCTCACATAGAGAAGGAAATAAGGTGTGGGTAGGGTTGAATTGAGCACCAGTAGCTGCAGCAAACACTTACAGAGCTCAGAAGAGACAAAGCCATCTATCTTTAAGCAGGAATGCATTAAGACACAGATATGGTTAGATGACTCTGAGAAAATTCAACTACAAGGGTGGAAGTATAGCGCTGGTGTCGTAAGTGAGCATCAGTGATCAAATACTTTAAGAATATGCTGTCATTTCCGGAAAAGGCAATGTTGCTGATAGACACAGTAACAAATGGCCCAGAAAGAAAATTCCCATCAGGAGATCTATAGAGCTCATGCAGATAGCAGCTATGCAGCAACTCCCCACAGAGAAACAGAGGTAAAATGTAAGAACGAGCTCACAGAGAAGTTAGGTGGTGGTTGAAAAGATTTTTAAAATAAAGAGTTAAGTTTCTAAGATTTATAAACCTTATGTAGGTCCAAGACCAGAAACATACTATAGTGTGTTATCTATAGTCAACATAAAAAAAAAAAAAAAAAGGACCCGGACAGACGTTGGTGGTGCACGCCTTTAATCCCAGCAATCAGGAGTCAAAGACAGGCAGATCTCTGTGAGTTCGAGGCCAGCCTGGTCTACAGAGCAAGTTCCAGGAGAGCCTCCAAAGCCACAGAGAAACCCTGTCTCGAAAATCCAAATAATAATAATATAAAAAAAAATAAGGGCCTGTTTGAAATGTCTTTCTTATGTCTTTCTTGTTCATGAAGTTGCAAAGTCACTAGTGTCCTAGGAAAAGCTTCCCAACAGAAAGGTCCTTAAGCACTGCATGGTGTCAATGTGGATGCATCATAAAGGAAACAGAAGCAAGGTAGCATTCGCATCAATGTGCATTCTTCCAGTTTGCATCCAGACCTAAGTGTTAATTAAAAGAAACGGTATCCAAACCCATCCCCGTTCACAGGAAGTCTTGGAAAGAAATACACTTAAAATACATGTTGAAGAAAATAAGTGTCAGGGGATCCGGTAATGATCTTTAACGTGGGGGTTATAGAAGGCCTGTGTGGGCTCATTTGGTCTGTTTTCTCTACTCGTTGTGGGTGGTTTATGACAATGTCTTACCGCCTCCACTTCAGCAGGGTCGTACCAAACGTTGATGTACGGATGCTGTAAGGCGTCATCCACCGATATTCTCTTAGCCGGGTCGATCACTAACATCTTTGACAACAAATCCCTGGCTTGGCTGGCTGAAATGACAAATGAGAACATCGATTCCTAAGATTTTCATTTTTGGCAAGGGTGTTTATCATCCGGGGAACTAAAAAAGAGAAGCAGCCTCCTTCTAGTCACCAGGAAACTCCTTGTGGCTATAAAAGAAATGCAGCTTCTATTTTTTTTTTTTTGTCTCAAAGCCTAAGATAGCATTTTGAGAGTTCTTTGAGGGTTATATGCTGCGATTATAATTATTCACTCAGAATTATAAATGGAATTTATCAGCTACGATGTTTGAATAAGTACAGAAATTTTGGTGGGTAATCTGTAAGGATTCTAGGGGGTGGGATAAGCAGCATGGTAAATGCAGAGTGCATGGTGCATCTGCAGAAACATGCAGTTCAGATACAGGAGTGGGTGTAGGACGTCAACCAATGTGCTTCCACTTTCTCATACACAAAGTGGGATAGGCAGAATTAGCAGAGTTCACACTGACTTGCCAACCAATGTCATCTGTATTTCTTAGATCCCTTAAAAGTAACCAGAAGAGTGAATGTGATAAAAAACAAAAAAACAAAAAAAAACAAAAAGACCTCATTTAATTACTGAATTTTTTGATACATTCTGTGTTCATCAGACATTCAAATGGGTAGAATCATGGTTTGGTGGAATCAGGTGGCTAGTGGCTAAAGGAAGTCCCATGCCATGGCTGATGGTAATGAAAAATCTCTATATTATGTATAAGGTGGCATGGTGAACTGTATGGTTGGAGCAGGGTGACACACATGTGACAACCAGCAAGCATATTTGTTCAATAGCATTATTTATTGAAGGCACATGGATTTTCATATCCAACCGTGTCCCTGTGTATACAGTCTCAACAGGAAGTATGTTACAATAGGTGTGAAAGTCAGAGCACAGCCTTGGGCACTGCCCTTCAAGCATCATGAATGTCTTTTGTTTCTTTCTTTTGAGACAAACATGGAATGTTTAGAACAGTTAGAACAGTCTTTACTGACTACCTCCACCTCCTCAGCACTGGGATGACAAGCACATGCACAGGCCTCACTTTTTTCTACATGGGTTCTGGGGATCAAACTCAGGTCCGTGTGTGGGCAAACAAGCCCTTCATTACTGGAGCTGAAGACTCGGCCCTGGGGCCACATTAACTTTCAGTCTCTAAAGCATGTGAAATGTTACACAAAGACATTTCTTAACAAGAATAAGTAATATGGTAAAATTATCTTAATAATATCTTAAACTGCTATTATTACTCAAATGGTCTCAAAGTTTTAACAGTAAAATTACTCAGTGAGTTCCAAATATATTGCTAAAACTTCCAATTCAACAGAGTAAAACCTTGGTTGGCTTAGCAATTTGAAATATTTCTGATTAATGAGAGTGCCTAAGAGTAACTGACATCAAAAATTGGAACCAAATATGCTAATGTACAGGATAATGTAGGAATAGGGAGCCTGTTTGTATATTCACGAACTTAGAGCTTCAATGTTTTTATTCTCCTTTTAAAGACATCAGATGCATTCTGTAACAGATTCTAAGTATGCTAATGTACAGGATAATGTAGGAATAGGGGGCCTGTTTGTATATTCACGAACTTAGAGCTTCGATGTTTTTATTCTCCTTTTAAAGACATCAGATGCATTCTGTAACAGATTCAAGAGTTCATTTGTAGTATAATAAAATGTTGACATGTAACATGTTTACAAGAAGATATTTTTTCATTAATTTTTTAATATGGACAACATCATTGTTACTAAATGTTCAGATTAAGGCAACTGGTTTAATGGTAAGAATTTAGCAATAACATAATTAAATAAATAACATAAATAAAAGTTGAGAAATATCAACCATTCTCACCAGCCATCACTGTGATTATTGGTAGCTTTTCTTCTCCCACTGTCTACTTTTGGATATCATTCAACTGTCTGACATTCATTTTCACTTAATTTTGCTAATACAACAGCTAAGATTTAGGAAACTATTCTCACCTATGTATCTGTGACTATTTTCTTGTGTTTATAATGTTTTATATTACTATGAAAGTTCATTCATTAAAGGATATTTTATGTCTATGGTAATTTTTTCTGATGATAAAATTTTCTTGATTGTTTAGCATTCTTTCCACATAAAAACCTTGGAGCTCACAAGCATCCCAAAAGCACACAAAGACTAACATACTAAATGAAATTTTAAGATGATTTGTGACCAATGTTCTAGCACCCTGACAGGGCTGTTTCTTTGTTTAAAGGCCCTGGTGATCTGTAGCTGATTGTATCCTCAGATTCATGTACCCTGCACCCATAGTCTGCTCTCCAGACCATCTGTATTTCTGTTCTTAGAAAGGGCACGGGATGGAATGGTCTCCTTGATGAGAAGGGAGTGACCTTTACTAACACCAGATCATCTCCTAAAAGCCATTGTCAGTACCATATGTAGCAAACAAGAAGAGAAATGTTTTCTGTGCCATGGCTTTCAACTTTCAGCCAAACATGCTGCTTTCCTAGACCCAGAACAAACTTTCTCGTTAATTGTTTGCATATTGTGACACTTCCTTAGAGTTGCCGGTCTTGTGTTAGAATCACAACTATGTTAAATAGCTAATAATTTACAAAATAAATAATATAACTAAACTCTAGAAAGTTGGATTTATGTCACAAAGCATGCTATTGTTAATAGCTTGCTGGCGGGGCCTGGGGGGAGGATTCTCTTTCCCTCTTGGCCAAGTCAAGAGGGCAAGAGGCATTAGTGACAGAAAGCTTTGCACACAGACATTGACCATGAATGAAGACAGCCCTCCAAGAAACAGACTTCAGTGAATAAGCTCAACTTCATTCCAGAGTATAAGGAATATATAGCCTGGGAACAAACCCTATTTGCATTAAGGGGTGCTCTCTTATCACAAGGCTTCTTATGTGGCAGTAGAGTCCTATCAAAATGCCTAGAGCACTTGCCTAATTACCATGTGGGTCATCAAGGGAAGAACATTTGCAGGTAACTGTGCCAAGGGTCACCCTTGAGATAAGTCAGGCATCCTGGGCTATCTTAAATTCCTTATGAATAAATTTGGAGGAGATGACTGATCAACAAAACACTACATTTTAATTTCTTTGCCTCATTGATGTTTATCTTGGTTATTTAAATTAAGCCTATAAATTAACCCTGTGGGTAATTGACTGCTCTGCACTCTTGCGCCACACCCCCACAAGCATGAACCTACCTTGGTTTTTTTTTTTCTTTTGATAATAAATATTTTAAAACAGTGTTTTATTATGTTTAACAGTTATTAACCAGATGCTGTTGAAAATGCTTAACAAAATATTAAGTCAATCAAACTTCCCCAAAATTCTTTACCATCATTTTTTTTTAAATAGGTTAAGTTAGCTGGTTGTCTAGCAGCACATGAAGGTACAGGAGCAGAGTCTGAATCCAGGAAGAGGGGACAAGATTTGAACAGAAAGAAATGTATAGGTAACACCTAATTTATTACTCTATAACTGAGAAATTGTGGTAAGACACTCCAGAAAATAAAAGGAACTAAAGCACCTATGTCTACAAGACTTTACAAATGAAAATCTGTGTTAGAAGTATTTTCTAGGAACTAAAAAAGGGTTGGAGATATGTTTTCAAAGTACAGTACACTTACCTTTTAAACTTACATTTCAAACAATGGTTTCAAGATTCTAAATAATCCTGATAAAACAGCTTACCAAGAAAGATTATTGCCAGAAACACCTCTTCTTTTGTCAGTGCCCGTCAAGGGAAAACCTAGCATGTGCCTTTCATTGCACACATCACAGTGGCTGTCAAGCTGTGCCCAGGGCTCACCTTTTAGTTTATTGTGCTCAGAGTCGGCTGGGAAGAGGGAATCTGGAAAGAGCTTGGGGAAGGTGAGTCCCGCATACTTGGGTCGATTCTCCACGTAGTTTCTGACTGTGGGCTGCAACTTCTTCATGAATTCTGGACAAGGAGTTCCTAGCTGCTCGATGACTTTGTTCCACTGGTCAATATCTGGGGAGGAAAGAGTTAAGGGAAAAAAGAAGTGCAGACCCAGGGTTCTCACCTTTCTGTCACCTGTCCCTGGGGGCTGGGACCCATCAGCATGGCTGCAATTTCACTAAGCAACACAGGACAAAAGGGTGAAATCAAAGTTGACAGCCTGCATGTGAGCACTCTTGGGATTATAAGGCAAATTTTGGAACTCTTTTGTGTGCTTTTAGAGAACTACTATTGTTTAACAAAAACAGGATTACCAAGTGGTCTTTGCTTTACAAAAATAAAAATATTATTCAAATATAACAGGGCATAGTAACATATAATCATGTGATTTAGGGTAAAATATGCAAGGACAAATCACAGGATGCTCTCTCTTGTTTGCAAGGATTAAAAGATTCAAATAATGCAAGAAAGGTATCTTAATAAAATAAAATTTTAAAAATCATGTGATCTAGAATTAAAATTATCTCACTTCATCATAGGATTTTATCCTAAATTTACCTCAATAATTTTTATTTTTAGAATAGCAAGCACATAAATACTTTAAACAATATTTATATTTTCCCTAAATTGCCTTTAAGATTTTTTTGTTCCTTTTCAAAAACTGGGGAAATTTCATTGAAAATGTTTTCTACTTATAATCATCACATTTGGGGTCATCATACTAACTCTATTTAGCTGTGTTTATTTGTGGAATACATTGCAAAATTTTGATACATATTACATTTGTAAACTGCTCAAATTTCTGTCTTTTCAAAACTTATTATACATTTGTGACATTTATATTTTTTTCTATAAGGTTGTTTGAGACATGCAGGACTTTTGTGTCACCCATAGTCGCTCTGTCTACTGGAGTAACTCTATCACAGTCACTCTATCCTCTGTCTACTGTTGTCACCCGATCACACTCACACTATCATAGTCACTCTGACTGTCACAGTCACCCTGTCTACCTGTAACTTGGCACTGAGTGAGCAGCTTCACATCTCTACACGAACCCCCTCCCAGCCTCCTGTAACTAATTCAAATGTTCCTTTTCATTTCTCCTTAATATCTGATGTGTCATAGCCTTGAAATTGATAAACAAGGCAGTCCTAAAGGATCAGCTAAAAGCAGCTGATTTCAAACAGGATTGAGTATTGCAGGTTTTCATTCATTCCAACTCCAGCCCCCTTTATCCTTCTACAGCCCCATTCTTCACTGTCAATTCCTACCCCCTAAAGTAACACCAGGCACGTCAAAAAACCTTATCATAATGCTAACTAATTAAGGTTTGTAAGGCCCTTCCTCTTAGCTATTCAAGGGTTGAACCAAAAGGGCTGACTGTCCTGAGAAAAGACAAACCATATTTAACATTATAAACTGAAAGCGATCAAAGATAAAAGCAAGATAATTGCAAATCTCTACCTCCCTTACAACCTAAATGAATAAAACTTGGTTATTATAATAAAAATACATAAATTGCTATTGACTGTCTGGAAATGAGATGCAGGTGGGAAAAGTAGAGATGTATTCACTAGCATGACAACGGCAAGATCAAACCAAGTGCAAGCGCCAATGAAACTTCACTGACGTTATCGTGGGCCTAAGAAAGGTATCAGAATTATTAGAAATAAAGAAATTGACACACACACACACATTCATATATATAGTGGTTAGTCATATATATATATGATTGCTTAGTCACTCTCATGCAAAAACTCGTATTAAGTCTATGGCTATGGATAACATATAAGTAGATACATTAGATGAATAGATAGATAGATAGATAGATAGATAGATAGATAGATAGATACAGAGAGATAGGGATAGATATGGATGAATAGGTTGATTTTGATAAATGGTAGATAGATATAAATATATTGATAAATGATATAGATCAATACTTAGAACAATGCTCATGATGTTTAAAGCTCAGTTGACACCATAAATATGAAAAAAGGCTTTCTCTTTAATGGAATTAGGTTATCATGCCCCACCAAGCTGTCATTGACTCATTGCTAAACTTGATCTGAATTCTAGAGGGTAAAAGCTAATATCATGTTTAAAACAGGCCAAAAAAAAAAGTTTCTAGATTTTTTTTACAAAGAAGACATTTAATAAATTTGTTAAACTTGATCTGAATTCTAGAGGGTAAAAGCTAATACCATGTTTAAAACAGGCCAGAAAAAAAAGTTTCTAGATTTTTTTTACAAAGAAGACATTTAATAAATTTGGCAAAATATTGTCAATCCATTATTTTATTCTAATTTCATTCAACCAGAGTCATGAAAGTATTCAATAAAAACCTTTAGCACAGAATTAAGTGTCTTTTTGCTTGCTTTTCTCTCTTGCAGGATTTTTGTAGCAAACAAAAAGACTTATAGTATGGCTCTCAAACCCTGACTTCCTGCCTCCTCCTGTTAAGTGCTGGGATTCTGAGATTGGGCCACCACACCCTGTACATAGGTAAAGGCACCCAAAGAAGGAGCCCTAAGGCAATTCTATGGTATTTTGGGTAAAAATGTAATGAGGAGTCACTTATGCTGAAATTCAAAGAACAATTTGAGTCTCTAACAGTACTGGGTGATCTTTCTTACCCGAGAGTGCTTTAGACATGGGAGGATTAAAACTATGTCCCTGAGGTCACTAAACAGTCTTCTAGCAAACATGGGGTACAGCCCTCTTTAAGACAGGGTACCTTTCTTTTAACACAATCCCTCAAGTCCTTTCCTCCTACAAACAGTCTCGATAAGGGGGACTTGTTTTTCTCATGTTGAGTCAGTGTCCCTGAAGAAAACAGACAATCTGGATCTAATGTG